TCCAATCAGCGAAGAAAGTACCTACATTATAAAAAAAATATTGTAGTACAGCCCTTGGTACTCTAGTCGCGAGTCACTATACAGGGTGTTTCAATAAACATGACCTCTCATGGGGAGATTCCTGACGCAAAAAATTTCTGTCTTTATTTTTTTTCGATTTATTATATCGGATGCGTCTCAAAAGTGGCTCACCCCCTATAACTTTTTTATTTTTTCAGATAAAAAAAGAGATTTGGTATGTTATTATATGACATAAATTAGGATTGATTTACGTATTCAATTGTTTTTCATTTCACTTCCTGTCACCGAAAATTACTACAACTTTTAATTTTTAAATGACACCCTCGGTATTTTTTGACATATCATATGTCAACTTCTTTTGAAATTTTCGGATATGTTTATTTGAAATTGTAAAAAAAATAAAAGAAAAATGTTTAAACAATTAAAATTAATTGTTTAAATAGTTCATAACGAAAATCTGACCAAGTGTGTGGTATCAAATTATTGGTAAAAAAATTCTTTTTCTAAATAAGCTAATGAGCCACCCTCGTTCCATTAGAAAAAATTGAGATATGATTAAAAATACGATTTGGACATCCTTTAACCGGCCAGGATAAGACACAAAAACATTAGACGATCAAATCTATTTTTCCAAGACTCCTTGTTTAAAAATTAGTGTTTTTAAAATAGCCATGCACTCTAGATTGAATTTTAAAATACGATATTTTTAAATGAGAACGTCAAAAGTTGACATATGATATATCAATCTATTCAGAGTGTCATTTTCTATCGAATAAATTAAAAAAATTCCGAGGGTGCCATTTAAAAATCAAAAGTTGTAATCGTTTCCGGTGAAACAGGAAGTGACCGAAAACAATTGAATACGTCAATCAATCCTAACTTAAGTATGTCATATACTAACATACCAAAACCCGTTCTTTTTATCTAAAAAATAAAAAAGTTATAGAAGTGAGCCACTTTTGAGACGCACCCGGTAATTTTCTTCCAAGTGTCTTTAGCGATTTGAATGAAATTTTGAGGGTAAAAGTTACTATAAGTAGGCCTGTTCCAAACACCGGAACACCGTTTTAACACCGGTGTTGGGCTGACACCGGTGTTGGCACCGACACCGGTGTTGATACCGACACCGGTGTTGATACCGACACCGGTGTTCATTTCGATACCAGTGTTCATCTACAACACCGGTGTTCATCTCAATACTGGTTTTGACTACGACACCGGTTTTGATATTGACACCAGTGTTTTGTAAACGGGTTAAAGAAGAAATAATGATAATTAATAAGTTCAAAATAAACCTGATAATAATAATGTCGTATCGGTGCTTATTTTTATAGTTTATTAAAGCGCACCGATTTTAACTTAAAGCTTTCAAATTTAAATATTATTTTTCTGTCAGACTAATCACTAAAATAAAGTAGAAGCGATCAGATAAACAACTATAAAGTAAAAAATTATTCAATCAAAAACAAATAGAAAACAAAACATAAACAAAAATTCGTAGCTGTAAAGTAAACTAAAAAATATCACATTAAAAAACTAAAAAAACAAACAAATTTGTCACAAACGTCGTTGTCACTATCGACAACGACGATCGACACCGGTGTTCATCGCGATACCGGTGTTGAGATAAACACCGGTGTCGAGATAAACACCGGTGTTGAAATGAACACCGGTGGTCATCAACACCTAACACCGGCATTCAAATCTCAAAACCGAACAGGTCTAACTATAAGTGCGACATATTTTAATGCAAAAAAAAGTATCGACATATTCACCAGGGGCGTGCATATGGGTTATCACTGGAATATTTTTCTCTAGGAACTATACAGGATATCCCATATTCAAGCTTCATCTTTGGATCTCGAAAACTAGAAGTGATACGAGGTCGATTAAATAGTTGCGCAATTTGATTCTGATCAAAATTCCTAAAGCTTCCAAATAATTTTGAAGAACCCGAATATTCGCAATTTTATTTTTATTTTTTATGTGATAAATATTGTTTACTTTTTTATTTAAATATTGGAAAAATACAGTTGTTTAAAAAAATTGACTATTTAATGTTTTATCTATCAGACAGTAAAGACAATTTAAGTTTCGATTATGTCAAATCGCAATTAAAAATACTTGAATGAAATAAAATTTTGAAAAAGTCTTATAATAAGTTTAGCAGACCTATTACGACTGATATTTTCGTTTGCAAAAATAAATAGCTTTGCATTGGTATCGTGAGTAATAATTATGTTTTTTTTGTGTGTCAAGTTTAAAGATAAAAGTTAGTTCAGGTAGTCCCCTGATTACCTATGGATCAGTTGCTTGTAGTGAAGTACAGAGACTGGCATGTATCTGCATCACAGGTGCCATGAGAACATGTCCAACAGCAGCAATGGAGGTCATTCTAGACCTAACACCACTGCACATTGTCGTCGGTAGTTATTGCCAATGCGACAATGGTTAGAATGGTCATTGACGGAAACAGTACTGGGAGAATTTTCAGGTCATGGCCTTGGAACACCCTCAAAAAGAAAATTCCACTTCTCCAACTCCCAGTGGATAACATACCAAGAATTTACAACTTTGAGAAACACCTCACTGTAGTGTTGAGTAATAAAAAAAAATTGGAAGGAAGAAACGTTTACTCAGCATGGTAAAGACCATACCATAACGTGGTATACTGATGCTTCCAAAACCAAAGCAGGGATAGGAGTAAATAGGCCGAAAAGTAAATACTCCGAACCAATAGGCACCTACCCCAGTATCCTTCAGTCAGAAATTTACGCTATCGAAAAATGCGTACAATTTATCTTAGATAAGAATTATCGAAAACAGGAAATATTGGTCCATCCTATCCGATAGTCAAGCAGCACTAAACGCGATCAACTCAGTAACCATCAATTCGAAGTTGGTTAAAAAATGCCTAGAGAAGCTCAACAAATTAGGCAAAGAAAATAAAAGTCCTACTCTAGGTGCCTGCTCACCAAGGGATAGAAGGCAATGAAAAAGCAAATGATCTAGCTAGAAAAGGAGCGAACACTCCACTAACTGAACCAGAACCGTTCTGTTTTCCAAACGGGAACCAACTGAAAGCGGAACTAAAGAATCTGGAAGACTCCATCCGTAACTTGGAAAGGGTATCCTCCAAGAACTTACGACCGGGAGAGATCAAAGGTTTTCTTTGATATAAGTAAAAACAATCTTCGGATTGTCACGGGGTTTCTAACAGGACACTGTCTCCTCAATGAACACCTCATTAGGCTGAAGCTGAGAAACAACAGCCAATGCAGATTCTGTGGGGAAAATGGGGAAACACCAGAACACCTTATCACTGAGTGCACCGAGACGACGACCATTCGTGCCATGAACCTTGGTACGTCTGATGTCGAGGATGGAGAGCTGGCCTCTGTGGAGCCGACTCAGATACTGGCTTTTGTTAAAGCCCTGAGACTGTATGACGAGTTATAACTTGTTATAACTCAAGAAAGGGGAACACACAATAGATCTGTAAGGTCGCGGTGATTAACTCCCCTCCTAAACATTCTAACATACATTCTAGTTCAGGTAACAATTAATTAGATTTATACATATAACATTTTTTATTATACATACCATACCTTAATTCATTTACAATATGGAAGAAAATTATCTATTTAATATTTTTCAAAGTACTACTTTTACATTTTTATAATAAAATATAAGATTCATGTGTACAATTAATTCTTCCTAACTTAATATTTGTTCCATATAATTATTACTTTCAAATTTTTAAATATATTGCATTTAATATACAGGGTGTTTCAAAACAAATGCGAAAAACTTCATGGGGTGATTCCTTGTTCAAAATAAAGGGTAGTTTGCTTCATAAACGTTGGGTCAAAAGTCAACCATTAGGGAGATATCGCGGTACAAAGATGGCGGAAAAATAATGTTTTTATTTTTTATCTTGAAAACGAAAAGAGATAGACTAATAAAATTTTATGGAAGCATTACTGTTAAGAAAACACACTTTCTGGTAATTTTTTCACTTTTTTAAAATGAGTGGAAGGGGTTGAAATAAACTACCCCTATCATTCTTGTTAACGAAATTTAAAGAAAAATCTTATCAAACACATGCAATAAAATTAACTTGAATAGTTTAGTTTGTTTAGAAACTTTTTTATCTCTTGTATTTTTTTGATAAAACTCACCGATTTGAAATTAAAAAATAAAATGTAAAGCATTACATGTCAGGCCAAAAAAACATTTTCTGATAAAGAATCTAGTGGGCTGCTGTAATTTTTTTAGGAAAAAATCTAGTCGGCCGCTGTTACTTTTTAGGTTGTTCCTAATATTATTTTATTTGACATTACTCTACTGCAATACGTTATTATCTAAATTATTATTATTATCGTTATTATCACTAGATTTTTAATCTAAAAATGTTTTTTGTCCTGACATGTAATGCTTTACATTTTATTTTTTAATTTCAAATCGGTGAGTTTTTTCAAAAAAACACAAGAGATAAAAAAGTTTCTAAACAAACTAAAGTATCCAAATTAAAGCATTTGCATGTGTTTGATAAGATTTTTCTTTAAATTTCGTTAACAAGAATGATACGGGTAGTTTATTTCAACCCCTTCCACTCATTTTAAAAAAGGAAAAAATTACCTGAAAGTGTGTTTTCATAACAGTAATGCTTCCATAAAATTTCATTAGTCTATCTCTTTTGGTTTTCAAGATAAAAAATAAAAACATTAATTTTCCGCCATCTTTGTATCGCGATATCTCCCTAATGGTTGACTTTTGACCCAACGTTTATACAGCAAACTACTCTTTATTTTGAACAAGGAATCACCCCCTAAAGTTTTTCGCATTTGTTTTGAAACACCCTGTATATGTAGAATTTATTTTTTTGCACAATCCAAGTCCCTAATATTCTTTTTATTCTCCTAACAAATTTAACGTAAAGTAAGAGACTAATTTTTTCAAGTAAAACATCAAAATCCTTAACCTAATCTATTTTAATTAAAACAATCAGTCTTTTTTATAACAACAAAAACTTCAAAAAGTTCTTTTGTTATTATTGATCTTGAAACAATAAGAGATTGAACTTATTTTTTATTATTTTCTTAGGTATTATGCTAATTTAAAGTCATCTTCACAGCATCCTGAGGTGATTTGTATTGAGCAGACTGGGAATCATCACTTTCTACAGGTTCCTTCAATAAAGTCTTGTGTATCACAAGATGTGATATGCTACATAGTAAACCAATTGCACTAAAAACGTGTAAAGAATATTTCCCACCTATATACTTGTAAAGAATTCCTCCCAATATACTTCCTAAAGCATAACCTAAAACAAGTTAGAAAACAAAATTATTATACAGGGTGATCCGAACTTTATTCCGGAAACTTCGCCAGCATATTCTGCAGATAAAAATAAGTAAAAAAAGTTCGTATAAATGTATGTCTTAAAAGGATTAGTTTCGGAGATACAGGGTGTAGAAGTTTTAGTTTTATTTCGAATTTTTCCAAATAATTTCTGAAGCAACGTCAATATTTGGATGAAATTGGTGTCCAGGAGATTTTTGACATGAGAAATTTGATTTTGATGTCAATATGCTCCGATTTGTAGGGGGCGCCATCTACATGTGTTTTAACTCTTTTGAAGAGTAATAACTTTTCGTCCGTACCTGTATAACATCTTAACACCTTACTTATTCTTATCTGCAGAATATGCTGCCGAAGTTTCCGGAATACAGTTCGTACCACCCTGTATACTATTATTACAAAGAAAACGGATAATCCGCTGCTATAAAAAAGTTACATATTGGTTTTCTTCTTTGATATTTTCAATCCATTTTTAATAAATATGCGAACAATGATTCTTTTTTTTAATACATAACAATTGAAACCTATTTTTCTACAGGAGGGTTGGTAGTTTTTAAATGGAATACTACATTTTTTCTGCTCAGTAGATTTGTTCTGTATAATTCTCACACTAAAGCTTACTTCGGGTTTCTCTTATTACCGATTCTGAACCGTCCTAGAACTGTGATGCGTATGCGCAGAAGGAAATATAAAGACATTATTTTATTTGCGCATGCGCTGCAGAGTTCTAGGACGGTTCAGAATCGGTAATAACAAGAACCCGAACAAAGCTTATATGTCTCCCTAATATTGTTATCAATATTATCACTATAATATACAGGGCGTCCCAGAAATAAGTGCAAGTATTTTAAGGGGTGGTAGATCTCGATAAAAGAAACATATTTTCTCTTTATCATTTTTTAAATAAGTCCAAACTAAAAAAACTAAAAAAATTTCCAAATTTTTTTTCAGAATTTTCAAAATTTTTTTTTCGCGAAAAAACCTCATAGGCGTGTTTCTGGGGTTGAACTATACTACCAGTTAAAATACTTGCACTTATTTCTGGGACACTCTATATATTTTACAGATTTAGCCGAAACATATATAGTTAGAAGTGTTCAACAGTAATTTTTTTATCAAGCCACAAAATAATTTTGGTCTGGTATTTTACGCGTAATATTTGTGAAACGGCTAAAAATTTTAAAATACTTTAAATACAAAAAATGTTCATTTTTTAATTCTCCATCTGACAAAAAAATAATATACAGGGTGTTGCTATTAAAAAAAAACGAAGAAATATTATTTTATATTGTAGAAAGTTAGGCATAGGCTTTTGAACACCCTGTGTGGTTTAAGATTACGATATTTATAGCATAGTAAATACAGACCAACTATAGTAAATATTTAGTATAGTTTTGATTTCAGGACACATCTGGTATTTTTAATAATTTTTTTAAAAAAGGCCGAAAAAATATATTTTTTTATTTATTTATTAATATTTCGGAAACTATCAAAATACATTTAATAATATCTTTGAATTATATAAAGCGATCAGAAAGGAAACTAAAAATGCAATAATATACAGGGTGTTCCATTTAAAAAATTATGCCAATCCATATTTTCCTGAAATACATCCTAATACAACTTTAGGTCTGCACTTACACTAAGGGTACGAACATAGTGGACGCAGGTTTCTGCTTTCCGGCAGCCAGCGCCGTCTCTGGGTACCTATTCTTGATCACTCGCGTCTTCAAATATCGCTCACATCTCGCATCTCCGAAAAAGCCATATAACAATACACGTGATGCGTAACTTTGCGTATATGCATCACGTGTATTGTTATATGGCTTTTCGGAGATGCGAGCAGGGTTCGGAAGTGGTTAATTAAGAGGAAATTTACCTGATTAACTAATCTAACCTAACCTAACCATATATTCAAACGCCGCGCCCGCCGCGCCGCCGCGCATAGGGGTAGTTGGTCTATAAACCTGGCCAAAAGTGATATTTTTTATTTTTCATTTTTTATCTTAACTGAATACAAATCTATAAATACTAAATGTAAGCACGTTTATTAGCTTTTTTTAAGTCGTAAGTTGACTATCAAATAAATAATATATTTCAATTATAAGTATGAATTATCTTGAGTGTATTCTGAATATTTCTAAGATTATAAAATAGTTGGAATTGTTTGTAGTGCTTTTTTGCAAATTGTTTATAATAACTGTCATGTTGGATACAGAGCCAGCTGGCAAGTCCTGTTTTTATGCCATATTTTTATTTTGAAACGTTTTCTTCTATTCTATTTCTTTATAATGTTTTATATTTAAAAAATCAGAGGCATTTTTATAAGGTGTAAGACTATTGGGCAATATTCCGCATAGAAATTAGTATCCGTTCAATGCTTAAAGTCTCCAGCTTTGGAATATGTACAAAAATCTTGCGAATATTTGCCACTGCCAAAAAAACATTGATTTAAATAGATTCTTAAAGGAAATAGTCTTTACCCTATAACACCCATCCTCGCTCAAATATCGTCTATAATATACAAATTACTTTCTTGTTCTAGCATCCTCATCCAATTGCTTGGTTTTGCACAGAATGGCCTTATTTGATCGTGGCCTTATTTGATCGGAGGGTTTCAGAGTAGAGGAAAAAATATTGTGTAGGAAAAACAAAATGAGGTTCCATATTAGCACCCTGTCCTCTAATAATTAATATTACTAGCAAAAAAGCAAAAAAATCATAAAACATAATTTTGGCCAACTTTTAGTTCTTAACACCCTCTGTGCGCCGTCGGCGCCTGCCAAAGCAGAAATAAATACATTTTCGTTCCGGTAAAAGCGAGAACGCCGACGAACGCTGGTTGACGGCTCCTACCTGCTTTTACTGTGAACTAACCGATTTGATAACACGCTTTAATTTCTCAAGGTTATAAGCGCAAGGCGGCGCGGCGCGGCGCTACTATGTAACCATATACAGGGTGTCCCAGAAATACGTGCAAGTATTTTAACTTAACTGGTAGTATAGTTCAACCCCAGAAACACGCCTATGAGGTTTTTTTCTAAATATTTTTTTTGAAAATTCGGAATTTTTTGAAAATATTTTTGAAATTTTTTTGCAATTTTTTTTTAGTTTTTATTTCAAAAAATAATTTCTTGATAATATGGCAACATAGGTAGTAGATTAAATTTATAAGAAAGAAAATCCAGAAAAGATCCAGTGGTTCTCAAACAAATATCGAAGTATTGGAAAGAATATGTAAGGACCAAGAACTATTGACTACAATAAAACGATGGAAAGCAGCATATTTTGGTCATATTTTTCGAAATAACAAATATAGTTTCTTACAGCTGATCGTTGAGGGAAAGATTGAAGGACGACGAGGCATCGGGCGTAAACGGTTTTCCTGCTTGCGGAATTTGCACCAGTGGTTTAATATAGGAGAGGCAAGTGCAATTATCCGTTTGGCTCAAGACAGGGAGGAATTCCAATTGATGGTCGCCAACCTCCGATGAGGAGAAGGCACATGAAGAAGGTTCTCAAAATTTGAGCAAAAAATCATTTTTTTTGGAAATTTTCAAAGTAAAATAACTCCGTTATTTTGGACTTATTTGAAAAACGATAAAGAGAAAATATGTTTCTTTTATCGAGATCTACCACCCTTTAAAATACTTGCACTTATTTCTGGGATACCCTGTTTATAACAATACACGTGATGCGTATACGCAAAGTTGCGAACGATGTCAAGAATAGGTGCCCAGATTGGCGCTGACTACCAGTAAGCGGCAAACCTGCTTGCACTGTGTTCGCACACTAAATCCCTAAAGTTTTTTTTTTATTTTAGGAGCTACAGATGCCGACGCACTATTGCCAGCCTTGTATCTACTATTTTAAATTTTGTGCCGTATGATAAATTAATTTTATATTATATAAAAAACTCTGTAATCTATATAATTATTTGATTCCCTACCGACACCATCGTCCATTCCAGCGGCTATCCCTTGCATGGTAGCTGAAGCCCCTGGTGGAGCCAATTCATTAGCATAAGCTACCACTGTGGTATATGTCAGGGCATAGGTAGGACCCTGCATCAAGAATTCGATTGGTATAATCCACCAAGGGTTTGGTGCTATGGAAATCAGTCCAAGTCTTAAAGCATAATTCAGAAAACACATACTGAAACAATGTACGTGTCCTACTCTTTCCAATATCTTTCCTGAAACAATAAAAAACAGACTGATTCTCAAACTTAATTAAACATATTTATAAGGTCTTAAATCTTAATTTAAAACAGATATATTATTTGGAAAATTCCAGACCTGTAATTTTTAACCAATCAAAACGTGTTTTTTTGACAAATCGCCATGGCAACGGATAAATTTTAGTGAAAATTTCACACCTCTACTTTTCAACCAATAACATGCTTTAATGTTGACTAGTTACCATGGCAACTGAAAAAATTTCCGGAAATTTTTTCGAGGCGCCACGAAAACTTTAGTGGAAATTTTTGACAGTTGAAAAGGTAAACATAAGATCTACAATCATAATGTGAATAACTACAATGTCTATATATTGAAATATTACCCATTTGAGTTTTAGCATTTGATGTAACTAAGGTTGGTAATATTTTTTATTTAAGGAAATATGTTAGATATACCTACATATGAATTTCTTCGAAATTGCCATGTTCTAAAAAATATAGTTCTGCCGCCTTTATTTAACTAAAGCTGGTATTTTTCTATTTAACGAAATATGATGGATATATCTATATGATTTTTTTAGAATTTATTTCATGTTGAATTATCTTCAATGCCAAATCTTTAATGATATCGACTAATATAGCAAAATAATAACGAAACACATTTAGTAATTATAGGTTTTATTAATATTAAAAACACAATTATTGTAAATGTTTGTAGGCTGGCTTGAATTGGTGGTTTGAATCTGGGTATTTTCTGTTTTATTTTGCATTGTGCTCTGATCATGATTGAACTGGCTAGTACTTGATGAAATGCTCCTCATGGATTCAATCATCTGTTGATGATGTTCAGCGTCCAACTGTAAGTAAGGTTTGATCGACTGACTATTACTATGTCCAGTAATTTTAATGAGCTGTTGTTCACCAACTCCTTTCTTGGCCAAATTCGAAACAGCTGTTGCTCTTGCAGAATGATTGGTTATTTTAACTTTTTTAGTGTCAATTCCTATATCTGAAGCTGCTGATTTAAACCATGAAGATACAATGTTCTTACCAACTGGGCTATTCTTGTACCATCCTTTCGAATTGGGTTGATTCCAGTATGGGTTTGGTGTTAAGAATAGTCTGTCGGTTTGAATAAGATTTCCCCTTTTTTCCATCAACTTTCTAAACAAGCGAACCGGACACATTTGTGGATTTTCGAAATTTCTAATCAACCATTTACTATCCGACAGTTTTTTAGAACCACCTTGTGTGGTTTTAGAGAAAATTGGATTATATTCTATCCGACCTTTTGGGTTTCCGAAATTATCAGTTTCTTCTTTGAAGTATTGGATACAAGCAGAATGTCCTTCCCCTCCTCTCCATGCCAGCTCATGTGAAACTATGTGAAAAAATTTACGCTGCAACCCATCTGGAGTATTTTCATCCCACATTTCAATAATTTTTTTGTATTCGTCACTGGTTAAGGCTGAAGCACTCACTTTTCTTTTTGCTGAATCTCTCTGTAGTATTTTGCGCTTAGCATCGCGTGCAGCTCTGGCGGTCACAAATTCCACATCAGAAAACGGATTAAATTTTATTTTATATTTTTCGTAATAAATTTCTTGCAACTGCTTAGCAGTAGAGTTCCACATCACTTTGACCACACTTTCCTTATAATCTTCAAAATTTTTCTTTTTCATATTAAATGCGTAGTCCTCCAGTATAGTAGCCAGCTGTACTACACTCATACACTCATGAATATTATACGACTTTTCATCACAAAATTCAACAAACTGTTTCCAACACTTGATTTTGATTTTCGGGTGTTATCTGGTTTTATATTTTCAATTTCTTCTTTAATGACTTGTTGGTTTACTTTTCCAAATCGCGACATTTCGCTATACACTTCTTACTCTACGTACAGACGTTTTAAAACTAGTAATAGCTTAATAACAGAATCGCAAACAAAAATGACAAAACACATAATATGTCAAAAAAATCAATACCTTGGCCAACTTAACAAATTGAAATTATTTTAAAATGTCATGTTGGATTAATATTTTTTTTTTCAAATTTAGGTGTGAAATTTTCTTACCGAATACCACGCAAGCTTAAATTATTCCTGGAAATTTTCTTTCGGGCACGAATATTTTAGGAAAATTATCCCTCGTCTTCGACTCGGGATAATTTTCAAAATATTCGTGTCCTCAAAAAAATTTCCGAAAATAATTTAAGCTCTTGTGATATTATAAGTGAAAATGTTTCCTTGTGGGCACCCAACAGCGAACTATACTGGAAATTTTTTGACGTTCATAATGACAGAATATCTTTTTTGGAGTCTGGTTTTTATTTGTTTACATGATAATTTTGATACATTTCAATTACAAAGCTGAGATGAAAGTTTTAAACTGCTTCCATACGCTTGACTTCGATTTCCTAGTATTTGCGGGTGTCAACTGCTTAATCTCCTGGCGAATATTTTCTTTGCTTTCATGACCGAAGCGAAACATTTTTTTAAGCGTGCCGCTTGACAGCTTCAAAACTGAAATAGTTTTTTAGGTTTGGGTGTCACTTAGTTGTCATAGTAACTAAATAATCAATTCGACCAAAAATCCAAAAATACATTTTAATCATAGATAAATGCAACAAGTTTAGATTGGAAAGCCCGTAAAAATTTTAGGTCGCGAAATTATTTTTGGTCGCGACCGTTATACGCGATCTGGCGCTGCTATAGCGGTCGCTAAGAACAACGGCAAACAAAAACAGAAATAATTTTCTCTTGTCAAAGTCAGAATCTTCAAAAATCATAATAATCTTTCAAAATCTAAACCGCTCTCATTAAAGAAACTCCGAAAAGTGTTTATAGCGTCCATTTTCAAAGTAATAATTGCTATCTTGTGAGTTTAATTCAAGTTTTATTTACTCCAACCGGTGATAATTGTGGAAAAGTGGCATTAAAAACTTAAAAATCTGTGCTGTGAACTGTGAACTGCAAAAACCATCGTGGATCGTGGCATAACGTCGGTTTCCAATGTTTCATAGGTATTTCATACATGCGTCCTTATATAAAATAAAGTTTCTTGTATGCAACACATTGTATTTTATTTATAAAATTAAACGAAAATAATAATAAATTTGAATAAACAATATTTGGCGATATAATTCCGGAAAAAGCCGAACCGCTCCGAAATTTTTAAAAGTTTTGGGTCGCGACCGTTGCAAGATAAGCGCCAAATAGTGTTTATATTCATTGCCTGGAAACTTATATGGTGAAATTTTGATAAAATAATTTAGTACTCACTAAAAACACGGTATGTCGCTAGTGGCAGGAAAAATAATTTTTAGAGGTTACTAGTTTATTTGGTTGCCTATGATATGCATATACAGGGTGTTTCCTAATTAATCTAAAAAATAAAAAATCGTTAGAAAACGGCTTAAGGCAGGCTCTTAATAAGTATATTTATTTTTTTCTCGGCAACCGTTTGATGAACAAGGAAAACTCAAAAGATCAATTTTGTTGAAAAAGGATGGCCAGTCAAGAAAAAAAATATATTTTCTTTAAAAAAGCAGTAGTGTACTATTTATGTTAAGCAAAATATCGATTTTTTTTTAATTTTTAACACCCTGTAGATCAGAAAGGAAGTACTTTAGACCCAATGGTTATATAAAAATTATTTTAAGAACAGATGAGGAATCACACCACAATTTTTTAGACTAATTAGGAAACACCCTGTATATTGTCAACTTGACAATGATTGTTGATAAATCAAAAAATATCTTTTCTGTGAAAAAAGCCCGATTTTCGCAGGAAAAATTTTGGTTTTTATTGAATTTGGGCCTGCGTCTGCAAATACCCGGTATGTTGTTTAATATTCTGTCTATCTAAATTTTAAATATCATAGTCAGAAATAGTTTTATTATTTATTAACTGTAAAAATGGTATACTTATAGGTTTTATCAAATATTGTGATTTACTTTCTACCTTGTAGTCAAAATTTATATTTAATAAACTGTAAAATATATATATTCTTATGTTTTATTAAAATTACTCTGATATACTAATATATCAGTGTAACTTTAAAACTAAATGCTTTGAAATCAAATATAAACATAAAAAATATTTACAGCAGAAAAGGCGAAGGCGCTGGGTTAAACGTAGTCTCTACTAAGAACACGGAGGGGCGCTTTGACCCAAAATTTTACTATTAAGTTTCATATCTATCTTAATAGAAGATTATTTTCTTTTATCTATGTTTATATTGTCCTTATGGGCACTTTCCAATCTAAACTTGTTTCATTTATCTATGATTTTAATTATTTGATTTTCAAACATAGTTTGGTGTGGAATTTTCTTACCGAATATCACACGAGGTCAAATTGAATCCAGACATTTTTTCTCGCTCATGAATATTTTTAGAAAATTATCCCTCGTCTTCGACTCGGGATAATTTTCAAAATATTCATGAGCTCGAAAAAAATTCCGGAAATAATTTGACCTCTAGTAGTATTACTAGTGAAAATGTTTTCCTTGTGGTCACCCAACAGCGAATTACTGGAATTTTTTTTACGTTTATAATGACAGAGTATCTTTTTGAGAGTCTGGGGTTTTCATTTGTTTACACGACAATTTTGATACATTTCAATTACAAAGCTGAGATGTTTTCTATATTCCTTGGACACCTCTTTTCTTCTTAATGGCGAAAATATACACTTGGAATGGACTGAATTAAATCTCTATGTCTAATGAAATATATATAATATTTAGACACTATCTTATTTACCCTTTTTTTAAGCTTTCTATTCTCTATATTTCCCCGCTTCGTTTTTGAAAATATGAAGGATTGAAATTTGAAAAGTTTATTTAAACATTTATCAGAGTAAATTATAAAGATAAATTCCTTCGACCAATTTGCTGTTTTTTGTTATTATTTTTAGATTTTTAGGCATTTTTTCACTTGCCACAAGGTTGATGATTAGGTGCGATAGTTGCTAGATAGCTGTTCTGTGACTTGTGCGTTGAAGTTCTTTGCAAAGCGACAATCAAAATCGTCTGCGTTGAGTTCTTGTACCAACTGAATTTTGTACTGGTGGAACTTGTGTTTTTTTTAATAATCCTTTGGACACTTGTACGATTCACGCCGGTCTCATTGGCTAATTTTCTTGTACTCAGCGTACTATCCGTGGCAACTTGGCCCAATACGAATACCTCCATAGCTTCATTTACTACAGGCTCTGCCTCTTCTTATTCATAACGGAACCAGTTTCGCAAAATTTTGCTACTAACTCGCGAACAAATTTGCCATAAAGGTGTTTGTCAGGATAGCGTTCGTTGAATATGTGCGCAACCCGATACATTCATTATTATTAAAATAAAGTTCGATTATTTCCACTTTTTCTGCAAGTGAGTACACCATAATTGTTAAGAAGTTTAACGATATTGAGAAGAACTTCAACGCACAAGTCACAGAACAGCTATCTAGCAAATACCGCACCTGATCGTTCAACCTTGCGGCAAGTGAAAAAATGCGTAAACATCTAGAAATAATAAGAAAAAACCTCAAATTGGTCGAAATAATTTATCCTTATCATTTACTCTGATAAATGTTTTAATAAACTTTTCAAATTTCAATCATATTTTCAACCATATTTTCTCAATGACTCGACCGATTTTCAAAAGCGAAACGGGAAAGTATAGAGAATAGAAAGTCCCACTTGACCCCCCTTCCCATTTGAAAAAAGTTGGGGGATGACACCCCCGCTTAGAGGGTTGAAGATTTTGCAATCATTTTTGGGGCAAAAGTTGCCCTCCTCACAAACAAAATTGACGTGTTCTTGGATTTTTTGAAAAAAAAAATATACCTTGGCCGTTATGCCTTGCGGAACGTTTTCGATGGGCCACCCTGTATACAAATCCAGTCGCTGCCGTAAAAAGATTTCTAAATTTGTTATAAATAACAATAACCTTGGCTATTAACATTGTTATAATTATATGATAAGAGATAAGAATCTTGTGTAGCATTAATCCCACTTGAGACAGTAAAATTAATTAAATGTGTATTAATAAAAGATATACAAATCATCTTTTGGGCTGATGAGTTTACTAAATAATACTAAAATAAACACTTAAAAATATATAAATGTGTTGTGCGTTCCTTTTTACAGTAAAACTTCCATATAGCGGCCACAAAAATTTTCAAAGGAATGTGGCCGTTAAGGGAAGTGGCCACTATTGCCACTAACAATAAAATACAGATACCAATGTAAAATCCCTTTATTTTGGAAACGTGCAAAGTAATTAAAATTAAGTACGAGCATGTAGTACAAACACACAATAAGTGTTAATAAATGATCTTCAGTTTTAGATTTTTGGCACAAAAAAATAATTCAGTTGTTACAAAAAAAACTTTATTACATAAGAATTTTTGAAAAAAAAACTTACAATGTATACATATGTATTTTACACATAGGTATTCTTATATACATATGTACAATTGACTTTAAAAAAGTTACAAAAATGATAACCTTATTTTATATGGTGAAAAACTGATTAATGGTAGTCTGCTTTAAATTTTTAATTTTGATTTTTGTAATTTCACTTTCAAATTTCATCAAAGTATGGGCAATATCAACTAACTAGTTTGTCTTTGTTTTTTGAATCACCAAAAATTCTGAATGTCTCTTAATTTTCACATACTTCATTCATATTATTTATAGATGAACACAGAATGTCTTGGCCTTCATCTTCTTCATCTTCGGCTTGAGTGAGTCCTGTCTGTCCTTGTTGTTTGTAAATTCCTGGATTATTCCCTGCATCTCTAAACTAGGATTTTCCGTAGGGACATCTGAATCGACTGTCAGATATTCTTTTAAGATCTGGACTTCCTGGCATGTTTTTTAAAATTGAAGATAACTGACTTAAAGGAATGTCGTCCTCTTCGTCAAATGCATCGTCCCCTTTGACGGTTGCAAATCCCGCTTTTTGGAAACATTTTTTTATAGTGTTCGATGTAACATTTTTCCATGCTGTACTTATCCACACCATAGTACTTGCCAAATTTATGCTCTCTTTAGCCTTTTCCATCGTTTCTTCGGTATTAGTAAAAGTCAAAAGTCTTTTAATAAAAAATTGACGATATTTTAATTTAAAATTTTGAATAATTCCTTGGTCCAACGGCTGGCAATGAGATGTCGTATTTGGAGGAAAAAAAATTATACGAACATTTTCAAGTTCAACAAACATTTTTTTTAATTCCACTTTGTTTTTTAAAATGTCGTTCACTTGCGTTCTTCCAACACCAAACTTTTCCGCCAACTTTCGAGCACTGCTGTTATATTTTTCACTTTCCGCGACAATATTTAATTTCTCTTTAATAGACAAACGTTTACGATTCAAAGACATAGTTGCTGTTCTTTCAGAGTAAGAAACTAAACTGATTCTATATCTCCCAAAAATTTCAGCAAACTACTGAGGAATTTGTATTGTATTTGTCACTCTCTGTACCTACTTCTCAAACAAATTATAAATGTTTATTGCTTGGAATTTCCTAAAGTGTCCTGAAACAGCTCTTGTTAGACAAAAAAAAAAAAGGTTCGAAGGGTTCGGTTTTTGGCCGGTATTGGGGCAATAAATTTAATGGGGTTTTCCCTAAAATGTACCTTTGAAGCGGCCGGTGGCCGCTTTCGGAATTAACGTTATTGAGAAATATTTTAATATAGGAATTCCCCTAAGATTAATTCAAACAACTGAAAATTGACCGCTAACAGAAGTGACCGCTTTTTAGAAATGGCCGAAATGGGAAGTTTTACTGTATTTACAAATAGTGAATTTCTTATTTCGTTCAATCATGTTCAATGTTAAACACTTTTGAAAAAATGTTTTCAATTCTAAGATTTATTAATAATCGTGAGAAGAAGAATAAATAGATACTGTAAAAAGTCATAGACAGTGTTAAACAGAAAATGGAGATAGTAAAAGAGAATTATTGAGAGAGAGAGTGAATACCAAACTATGCTTATTATGCTTGACATGCCTCGAAAAATATAATGAGATGGCTGGGGCTGGGGTGCAACTAGCCACCTCAAAGATCTCAAACTTCAGAGAATTGAAAATAAAAATCTCTTTCCAAAATTTCATTGTTAAACTTACCCGATACAGAGAAAAATATAACTTCTCCACCCAACGTTTCGGCAGCTACAATAAGCCCTTCCAAAAGTTTTATGTATCCGGTATTAGTAGCTGCGGCCAAATCTTCGATATACCAAAACAGAAAGTAAATAATAAAGCCATCTAGAACACCTACTAATACAGCAAACGACAAGAAAGTAGCAACGTAGCGGTTTTTCAAAAGCTTCCTTAATTCTTTAAATATGTTTTCAGGAGCTTCCATGACGGGTAACTAAAAATAAATACCTATATGTTAACAAAAATCACAGCAGTGTTTTCAGTGATTTTGTATTTCTAAAATAGTTAAATTAACAGCTGTTCCTTACTTTTAATTTAACGCATGCTATTAAATCAAAAGTGGAACAAATTAGCATGATAATAATTGCCGGGATGTATGATATGGTCTGTCCAGAAAACATATCCACAGCATACCCAGCAATCAAAGCTGTTGTCCCAAATCCAATTGTTCCCCAAACACGCTGTTTGCCATAGTCATATTCATCTCCTAAAATATAGAAAAACATGAATCAACATAGCACTTTTAAACTCAAAGTCTAGTTTTAGAAAAGCAACATTTAAAAGCATGTAGAAAATGACCAAAACCTTTTTACAAAGAATAAATACCTATAATATCAAAGCAAATTGCATCACTAATAGAATTAACCACATTGAACCCAATAGTTCCTATCGACATCAAAACAAGGAAACTCCAAAATGCCACCGATTGGTACAATTTGTTGTCTTGAGATTCGATAATTTCAATACATCGTATATGGCAACTTTGGTTTCTTTTTCATCAGTGGATAAGTTTCGTTCTCTTTGAGGGCATAACTTTAAGACATTTTTCTCCGTCGAATTGAGAAAAGCTTCCAGACTACAGGAAGTCATGTAGAAAGTGTCTGGATTGTTGAAACATTCCGAGTCGCAAGTGACGAATGTAGTCAGATTTTGGCAATTCATTTGTCGGATATCCTGAAAATGTGTTTAATGTATGTATTTGTCATCATAAATCATACAGATGATCGAAAAAAGCGACGTCAAGTTGGCTTACACATGAAAATGACAGCGATCTTCATTTCCAAGCTAACTCTGACGACGTAGTTTTCCATCGTATGCTATACAGTATACAGTATATAAATTTTACTAAGAAAAGCAAAAAATATTGTTTCTATTTTCTTATTTCGCAAACAAATTATGTAGGTTCAAATTTTAATGAAAACTTAAAAATTATTTTTTTACTATTTTTAAAGCATTTTAAGTAACGATAGTGTAGTCTTTAGATTACAGTTATTTTATGACATTTATACTAAAAATTTGAGATTCATCGGCTATGTTTCTATTACTCTATACAGGGTGAGTCTTGCAAATATTTTCAGGGGTAGTATATTTCAACTCTACAAACACGTATTCTTTTTATTTTCACACAGTTTTATAGCATGGGTAGAAGATTATATTTACAAGAAAAAAATCCCAGAAAAGATCCCAAAGATGGTTCTCAAAATTTAAGGGAAAAATCAACTTTTTTAAAATTTTCAAAGTAAAATATCTCGGTTATTTTGGATTTATTTGAAAAACGGTAAAGAGAAAATATGTTTCTCTTATCGAGATCTACCATCCCTGAAAATATTTGCACTTATTGAAGACTCACCCTGTATAGAGTGCGTCAAATTTAAAAAAAAAATATTAATAAAAATTACAATTAGAATACATAGATAACAAAAAGACAATAACTCGAATGAAATAAATTTGTAATTATAGTGATAAACGAAAATAAAAAAACAATTGTAGATAACTGATTAGACCATTTGTTGATCATTTTTTGTTTAAATAAAAAAATACTGATTGGAGTAGGTACAATACCATGGTACAAGTTGTATACATATATATGCAGGGGTGACTCCAGTGTTATGAAAATCTCCATATCAGGTTTCCTTTTTGAGATTTTCATTCCAATTTTTTTTGTAAAATTTTTGCACAATATACCCTTTTTATAGATATACAGGGCAATACAAATATATTTTTACATAAAGTTGAAGCTTTTTAAAAGGAATAATGAATATTGTTTTCACTCGGAGGATTTGACATAAAATATATGGAGTTTTTTCGGAAAATTGAATAACCCTGTATATTATTTAATTCCTTGGTTCCTTTCTTACTAGAATCTACCGAAATTATATATACTGGATGGTGCATCGTCGTTGGAAACATAGGAAATTCCATGCAAATCTTGGACTGTACAAATATTCGCTCCCCTGTTTCATCATCAGCAAATGATTAAAATTAAACTAATATCTACAAATTGAGCGTTTATATACAGTACGTCTGTCCGTTCGGTAGCTACGGGGTATCCATGAGAGAGGGGAAACGATATTCTCTCCATGTTTTTCTTAAAAAATTAGACGACGCGTGCCGTCAATAAAACTTCGACAAATTTGCAAGTAGCCAATAAAATGAGTGGGCGGAGCGATTTGCGGTGACGTACTCGTCAAGTCGACGTATAAAATTTATTGCTGTTTATTTAAATATTTTTTGTCCGCATTCCTTTCAAACCCCGAGTAGGCGTGGCAAAAACTAGCCAACCGAGTTAAAGCTAACACAGCGTAACAATTAATTACCGAAACTAGAGCAGTAGGAACAGAGAACTGGAAGGAATTGGGCCATTGTCTCTGTTCATACTATCTTTAGATTAAGACTTGTTTAATTAATTTGTAGATATTAGTTTAGCTTTAATCATCTGCTGATGAAAGGCAACGGCCGTATGGAACGCCGGTTCCCATTAGAACACCGAAGTTAAGCGACGTAAGGCGATACTGGTGGATGGACGGGTGACCGGTTCGAAACTCTGTATCGTGCTGTTGTCCAAGGGAAAAGTGTAAAAACTAGTGATACACACTGCTCATTTACGCCGGTTCGAGGCCGGATGAGATCGGATATCTCGTGAGTAAGAGTTAATTTAGACACTTCCTAAGACAGTAGGCCACTGACCATGATATGGCCGAGGACCGCGGTTCGGATTCCGCGTAAACTAAGTAGGCTCCGTCCAGATTAGCCCTGGCAGCAAAAAGGAGACGTTAACTGAAATCTTTACTTTTCTGCTGATGATGCTAACATGGCTAGCAAGACGCGCGTCCAGTGTGAAAGTAAAAGTGTTTTGGTGTATTGTGGTGATTTAGTGTTTTATTACTGATTTATTACTATATCGTATGGTTTTTAAAGATCTGCGTATGCTGTTTTTTTCAAATACAGGGTGTCCCAAAAATAGGTGCAAATATTTTAACTGGTAGTATAGTTCAACCCCAGAAACACGCCTATGAGGTTTTTTTCGCGAAAAAAAAATTTGAAAATTCGGCATTTTTTGAAAATTTTTTTGGAAATTTTTTTTTAGTTTTTAGTTAAAAAATAAAAACATAATTTCTTCATAATATGAAAACATAGGTATTAGATTAAATTTACAAGAAAGAAAATTAAGAAAAGACCCAGTGGTTCTCAAAATTTTAGCAAAAAATTATTTTTTTTGGAAATTTTCAAAGTAAAATAACTCCGTTATTTTGGACTTATTTGAAAAACGATAAAGAGAAAATATGTTTCTTTTATCGAGATCTACCACATTTTAAAATATTTGCACTTAATTCTGGGACACCCTGTCAATCTAAAATAGGTTAAAAACCAATAAAAAGCAAATGCTTTTAATGTTAAATGCAATTTGTTGTGTTGTATACTCGGTTATAATACTACAATTATAAGTTATAATAATAAGGGAGCCATTATTTGGATAGGTCAAAATTTGCATGGCATTTCCTACGTTTCCAACCGATGATGCACCACCCGGTATAGTCCTATGCAAAGTCCAGAGACTAGCATGCGTTTGCATCACAGGAGCCATGAGAACCTGTCCAACAGCAGCAATGGAGGTCATTCTAGATCTAACACCACTGCACATTGTCATTGGTAGATATGCCAATGCGACAATGATTAGAATGGTCACTAACGGAATTAGTACTGGGAGAATTGTCAGATCAGGGGCTTGGAGCACCCTCAAAAAGGAAATACCACTCCTGCAACTCCCAGTGGACGATATGCCAAGAACGTACAACTTTGAGTATAGTATTGAGCAATAAAAAGGATTGGAAGAGCGAAACGCTTGCCCAGCAGTTAAAGAAAGTCCATACCATAACTTGGTATACTGAGGCTTCCAAAACCAATACGGGAACAGGGATCGGAGTGTTTGGGCCGAGAGCTAAATACTCCGAACTTACCCTAGTATCCTACAGGCACTTACCCTAGTATCCTACAGGCAGAAATCTACGCTATCGAAAGATGCGTACAACTTATCTTAGATAGGAACTATCGGAAACAAGAAATAGCCATCTTGTCTGATAGTCAAGCAGCGTTAAAAGCGATCAACTCAGTAACCATCAATTCGAAATTGGTCAAAGAATGCATAGAGAAGCTGAATAAATTAGGCAAAGAAAACAAAGTCCTCCTACACTGGGTGCCTGCTCACCAAGGGATAGAAGGCAACGAAAAAGCAAATAATCTAGCTAGGAAAGGAGCGAACACTCCACTAACTGGACCAGAACCGTTCTGCTTTCCAAGTGGTAACCAACTCAAGGCGGAACTCAAGAACTTGGAAGATTCCATCCGCAACCTGGAATGGAAATCTTGCAACGGTCTAAGACACTCGAAGAAGTTTCTGAGCGCTTATGATGAAGAAAAATCACAGATCTTCCTGGGTTTAAGTAAGAACAATCTTCGGATTGTCACGGGGTTTTTAACAGGACACTGTCTCCTCAATGAACACCTCAGTAGATTGAAACTAAGAAGAAACGGCGAATGCAGATTCTGTGGGGAAGATGGGGAAACACCAGTACACCTCATCACTGAGAGCGCCGAGACGACAACCATTCGTGCAATGAATTTTGGTACGACTGATATTGGAGATGGAGAACTACCCTCTATAAAACCGTCCCAGATACTGGCTTTTGTCAAAGCCCTGGGACTGTATGATGAGTTATGACTCAAGAAAGGGGGACACAATGGATCTGTAAGGTCGCAGTGATTAACCCCCCTCCAACTAATTCTAAAAAATAGTCCTAATTAATAAAATTTGGTTATTCCTATCTACTACTAACTATAAAATTACATGTATCCAAATAATAATCCTGAAGTTTTCCTTCTATCACAGTCTTACTGAACGATTTTGGCACAGGTATAAAAGCTATCATGCTGTATGATAGCGTCATAATTATAATCATAGTCATAAATATTGCTTTCCTGTACGTCCTATACACGTCCACCAGTATACCGAAAAGTGGTTTGGCAATTAAAAATGCGAAGGGCAAAATTCCGGTAACTGTGCCCATGACAACTGTGGATATGCCCATTTCTTTCCCGTAGACGGATAACTGGGGTAGAATTGGACCCATAGCTGAAAATAGAATGTGGTTACCTATTGAATAAAACTACCAAGAAAAGAGTTAAATATTACTTTTACAGGCAAATACAGAAGAACACTGTAATCAGTTTGAAATAGGAATTTTGTCAATTTTGTGTTTGTTGTTTGTTGTTTTTTGGGGTGGTATACCGGGTGAGTCTCAAAAGTGGCTCACCCCTATAACTTTTTTATTCTTACAGTTAAAAAAACGAGATTTGGTATGTTAGTATATGACATAAATTAGGATTGATTGACGTATTCAATTGTTTTCGGTCACTTCCTGTTTCACCGGAAATGACTACAACTTTTCATTTTTAAATGGCACCCTCGGTATTTTTTTACTTTATTCGATAGAAAATAACACTCTGAATAGGATGACATATCATTTGTCACCTTTTGACATTTTCACATATGATATACAGGGTGAGTTTCCTACGATGTTCTCTATGGGTATCTCGGAAACTACTGGAGATAGAGAGTCAGTTAAATGGGGAAAGAATTGCAGTTTTGTGGGGTCATAAATATGCGCTTTTCAGATTTTCGAAAAAGTTCATGGCTTACTAGATATTTCGAAAAAAACAAATTTTGGCTATTTTAAAAATTGTCCCTAATTCCATTATAATCTATTTTAGACAAAAAGTTTTCAGATAAAAGTTGTAGATACTCACATCCCTAATGAGATTATGTTATCCGATTTTTTCTAAAGCCTGTCATTTTTAACATATGACACAAACATATCTTTTTTTAAATGGAAACCATAGTTGGCCACGACTTCATAAAAAGCGCCGTTTTTTAAGCTTTTCAACGATATAAGTTATAATATGTTTCTTTAACAAAATTACTGAGTTATAACCAATTCTTATCTTTCTTGACTAATTTCACTTAGCCATGGAAACAAGTTCAATCGTCGTTGCTCTCAGAAATGTGAAATTGTCACATCCAATCTTTGTAAATTAACATAAACAAAAATTGTAAATAAGAGTTTTTTAAATGAAGAACAGCGTGTAGAATTATTGGTTCAACTTTTCTTGGCCATACAGTTTCGAGGATATGTTGACCGGTGAACGTTACGTTGTTTAGAAAACGGTTTTCAAGACATGTTAGAAAAGATAAATTTAGATACTCGCGCATTAATACAGTGGTTCCAACATGACTTTCATTATGATGCACCACCCCCCCCCACAATGACAGAAATGTTATGTAAAAAATTATTTATATCATAATTATGTAGACTCAGGGAGGTGGACCAATTGCATAGGTCTCCTCGGTCACCTGACCTATCCATTTTAGATTTTTTTTATGCGGTATGGTTAACAACAAGGTTTACAAAAAAACTTATGAATTAAGGGAGGCACTCGAAGAGGCGGAACAGGAGAAGTTTAATTAAGTCGACCGGTGACAATAGCTAGAAATTCAGTTTTAAAAAGATGCATTTATGTACTCAAAATAATTGCGGATTTTTTGAACATTTTGTAAAATAACTTAAGTGATATTATTTTTTTGAGTTTTACTTTGTGTAATCTAAATTGTAAAGAGCCGTTTAATAACATATTTTGTCTTTTTATAAGTTATAAATCACAACAAAATTTGAACACCATTGACAACCGTTCTCTAAAAAACATAAGTAACTTTCACCGGTCAACGTATCCTGTATGGCCAAGAAAAGTTGAACCAATAATCCTACACGCTCGTCTTCATTTGAAAAAATTTTATTTACAATTTTTGTTTATTTTTATTTACAAAGATTGGATGTGACACAATTTCACATTTCTGAGAGCAACGACGATTGAACTTGTTTCCATGGCTAACTAAGTGAAATTAGTCAAGAAAGATAAGAATTGGCTATAACTCAGTAATTTTGTGAAAGAAACATATTATAGCTTATATTGCTGAAAAGCTTAAAATATGGCGCTTTTTATGAAGTCATAGCCAACTATGGTTTCCATTTAAAAAAACATATGTTTGTGTCATATGTCAAAAATGACAGGTTTTATAAAAAATCGGAGAACACAAACTCATTAGGAATGTGATTTTCTACAACTTTTATCTGAAAACTTTTTGTCTAAAATAGCTTATAATGGAATTAGGAACAATTTTTAAAATAGCCGAAATTTGTTTTTTTCAAAATATCTAGTAAGCCATGAACTTTTTCAAAAATCTGAAAGGCGCATATTTATGGCCCCACAAAACTGCAATTCTTTCCCCATTTAACCGACCCTCTATCTCCAGTAGTTTCCGAGATGCCCATAGAGAACATTGTAGGAAACTCACCCTGTATATATATGGTTTATTAGAAATTATAACTTGCGGTTTGTAACAAAAATTTTACTCGAAATACCAAGTGTGTGGTACCAAATTATTCGTAAAAAATGCTTTTTCTAAATATGCTAATGAGCCACCCTCGTTCCATTTGAAAAAATTGAGACATGATTAAAAATACGATTTGAGCATTTTGTAACTGGCCAAGACAAGACACTAAAAACATTAGACAATCAAATCTATTTTTCCAAGGCTCCTTGATTAAGAATTAGTGTTTTTAACACACTCTAGATTGAATTTTAAAATTCAATTTTGTTTTAAACGAGAATGTCAAAAGTTGACATATGATATGTCATTCTATTCAGAATATCATTTTCTATGGAATAAAGTAAAAAAATACCGAGGGTGCCATTTAAAAATCATAAGTTGTAGTAATTTCCGGTGAAACAGGACGTGACCAAAAACAATTGAATACGTCCAATCAATCCTAATATATGTCATATACTAACAAACCAAATCTCATTTTTTTATCTGAAAAAATAAAAAATTATAGGGGTGAGCCACTTGTGAGACGCACCCGGCGTCTGCCTTATAGAAATGGTCATCGAGTGTCATTTTAAAGACCTCTGTGACGCCGTTTTTTTTTGGTTTGCATTAGAAGTTTTATTTTGATAACAATTTTGCAAGGTTTGCATTAGAAGTTTTATTTTGATAACATTTTTTGTTTTCCAGATATAAACATATTTAAAATTAGTATCCTAGATTTTCTTACCTGACATAAAAAAGAAGTAATGAGCCTTGATCGGCAATAGATGCCTGTTTATTTTCATTGTGTCGATGTTATTGAAATTCTGGAAAAGACAAGAGAAGTTGTATTTAAAAAAAGTTAGTAAAATAAACTTATTGCTAACCAAAAGGTAAAAAAATAATTTTTTGAAATTTTAATTCGCATGATAACAGTCTACACATCATTCCACCAAATTACAAAATCAACTGGTAAGTACTAATCAACACACACACGTGGATGACATATTATGTATTTATCTAGTTAGTTAAAACTAAGTTATATGTTGTATATTAATACTTAAATTGTCTGTTATTAAATATTTCTAAAAATAAATCATACAAAATTTCAACTAGTTCAGCACTATCATTAAATTAATTAAATCAAATTGTTTAAGTGATATTTTCAAAAGTCAATAACTCGGAAACGGTTGGTTTGAGGTACATTGTGTGTATTTCGATATTTGCTTAGAATTGAAGGAAGAACCGAAATATGCAATAATATACAGGGGGTTCTATTTAAAAAAAATGAAACTTTGATGTGCCCCGACTTTATGATCGACCCTGTATACTTAAATTTATTACCCGCTAATAGATATTTATAAACCCTATAACTTTTATATTTAACTTTTTGCGGTGCCTCTTATATTTTACCTAATAAACGACTGTTTCCATACATAACAAAGACCCTGTATTTGATTTTGACAAGTCCATTTCCATTTCAGCTGTGCAGATGCATTTTTTAATGCGAATTAACATTAGTTGAGAAACTTAAACTTTCTCTATAAGTGCCAAACTGGCCTCAATGTATTATTCCTTCTATTAAAATATTATGTAAAAACCTTAATAGTCGAGTATAAAATTTACTTTACTATTTTTATTAGTATTTTGTTCTTGAAACTTCTAGTTTTTATTTTTTTCGCTTTTTATTTCTTAATAGTATAAAAATAATCAGTAAAAATTAAGTTAAATTTAAATGATGCTTACCCAAACAAAGAACTAAATTAGTGTTTGATTCTCATATCAAATACAAAAAAACTCATTACAAAAAAATGGTAACTAGTTTGCAAAACGTATTAAACAATAATATAACAAACTTTTTGATGCAACAATATAATTTCCACTTATTTTAACAAAACTTTAAAAACCTCTAAGCTCACTAAAGGCTCTGGAATAATAAACGGCCGTCACTAAACCAAAGTTTACTAAACTGACTCAAATCAAACGTCGTACTAGACTGTAGGGATCTAATAGAGCCCTTAAAACTATTTTTTGACCTGCCCATGGGATGCCTTGAGTACCAAAGTTGTGTGCGTATCTCATTAGTTCTATACTTACAAAGGTTAAGATAAATATTATTTAAGTGACTTTAAAGTGAGTTATTTCGTTTTTTTAATGTATTTTTTAAATTAAATAAGAGACTTTAAAAGTTCTATTATAATTTTAACATAAAATTATACAATACCTAACTCACTGAGATAATATATTTCTTGGACAGGTAATTGATTAATTGAAATAGCAGTACTTCGTTAATTATAATACTGATTAGAACATTGTGTTTGCCATTGAATAACACCATCATTAATGTAGGTACGTATAATGGTTTAAATAAAGCCAAAAGCTACGAAATAAGGTTTTATACATACAGGGTGAGTTTCCTACGATATTCTCTATGGGTATCTCGGAAACTACTGAAAATAGAGAGTCGGTTAATGGGGAAAGAATTGTAGTTTTGTCAGGTCATAAATATTCGCCTTTTAGATTTTTGAAAAAGTTCATGGCTTACTAGATATTTCGTAAAATTTTTTTTAACTATTTTATAAATTGTCCCTAATTCCATTATAATCTATTTTAGACAAAAAGTTTTCAGATAAAAGTTCTAGATAATCACATCCCTAATGAGTTTGTGTCCTCCGATTTTTTTTAAAGCCTGTCATTTTTGACATATGACACAAATATATGTTTTTTTAAATGGAAACCATAGGTGGCCATGATTTCATAAAAAGGGCCATTTTTTTAAGCTTTTCAGCGATATGCTTAAAATATGGCGCTTTTTATGAAGTCATGGCCAACTACATTTAATAAAAAACATAAATATGTTTGTTGTATATGCTTTTATCTGAAAACTTTTTGTCTAAAATAGATTATAATGGAATTAGGGACAATAATTTTTAAAATAGCCAAAATTTGTTTTTTTTTCGAAATATCTAGTAAGCCACGAACTTTTTCAAAAATCTGAAAGGCGCATATTTATGACCCCACAAAACTGCAATTCTTTCCCCATTTAACCGACCCTCTATCTCCAGTAGTTTTCGAGATACCCATAGAGAACATCGTAGGAAACTCACCATGTACATAGGGTGTCCCAATATTCCGTGGACATAGAACTATACTCTGTTTTTTTTCTCAGGTAAGATTTCGACAGACGATGACAGAAGAAAAGCAGATGACGTCCCATACCAATCTATTTATTTTACTAAAAAAAGTTTCTAATAATTTTTAAGTTATCTATGGATGGGTTTAAATATAAATCCGTCATACGTCGTGTCTTGTTGTTTTTAACCAGTTTTATTGGTTTATTTAAAAAATGACAGATCGTATTTCATTTTTATTGGTTTGACGGAACGATGAACGACAAACGGACACCGATGAGTATGAACTCGCCTTTAGATTTTTGTCATTTTTGACGCTTGTCAAAGTCTTGCCAAATTATAGGTTATAATTTTCTGTCAACTTTTGTTAAATACCCTGCGTTTTCGAAGATGATTCATTTGATTACGTGTGTTTTGTGTCTTTTGAAGTCAAGTGGAGGAAAAATCGAGTGAAAATTAACTGTAGACCCAGAGCACATTTTATGGTTAATTCTCGCTGTCCAGGCAGAAAGTCTTATACACCAATGAAGTTGCCATCGATAAAGTTTGTATACCATTTCGTCGTAGATAAGTGCATCTCGTATATGGTAGAAGGATCAAACTAAACATATACTAAAAACTCGAGTAGCTGTAAAATATCGACATCACACGAGAGGTAAAAAATGGATTTTAGTACTGCAGAAAAATAATGTCAAAAGGTCCTGGTTTAAAAAAATTAAGATTAAAGTTAATTAATCAACCTTTAAGGTATAAAATTTGGTAGGTGTTATTATTATTAAAATAGTTTGTTTTATTTACCTGTTGTTTTATTTATTCCTGTGGAATATTACAAATTTGTATTTGTACATAAGTTATATTGATAAATATAATCATAAATGCGGGTAGTTTCATAAAGCTTGAAAGTAAATAATAGTTCTTTTTTTATATTTTTTGGTATGTAGTGTCTTGTTCTTGTTTGTTTTGTATTAACACATACCGTTTTTATTAAATAAAATAACTCGATTACATTTTTTCAGTTTTATACAGTTTTTTTCACAATATTTTGAAGTAATCACTTGTCATCTTGTCAATCAAATTTTAAATATATCCTGCTATGCGTTCCAGTGGTACCAACTTATTTCTTTGTAAAATAAAATAAACTACTTTGAAATTAAAATGACAGACACGTCTATCACTGTCAAGGATCTTCTCGTTGGACAGACTATACTACGACGTTACCTCTATACAAAAGTGCTTCGTTTATCCGTTAGTATTTTAAAGTTTGACTTTCACAAAAATCAAGATAAAGTACAGAAAGGGTAACACTACCCTCAACCCTACATAAATTTTAGTAGAAATATTTTCCAAGTCCATTGACGAAGGTTTTTTTCGTAAAATGGTTCTTCTAGTATTTACTACATTTTTTATCTCTTGCAAAAAAACGTCATACTTTTCGAGAAAAAAAAATCTGAATCTGAATCTTGATCAAAAAAAGTTTTTTATGCGCTAATAATCTGGTTTAGATAAATAATAATAATTATTTTTATAAAAATATATTGGGTGGTCCGAACTGGTATTCCGGAAACTTTAGCAGCATATTCTGCAGATAAAAATAAGTAAAAAACTTCGTATAAATGTATGTCCTAAAATGCTTAGTTTCGGAGATACAGGGTGTAGAAGTTTCATTTTTATTTCGATTTTTTCCAAATAATTTCTGAAGTGATGTCAATATTTATATGAAAATTGGCGTCTAGGAGTGTTTTTACTTGAGAAATTTGATTTTGATGTTAATATGACTCCTATTTCTAGAGGGCGCCACCTACACGAGTTTTAACTGTTTTGAAGAGTAATAACTTTTCGTCCGAACCTGTATAAAGCCACTGAGTGACAAAATATACATTTCCGTGAATTTTTACTTAAAAAATGTCTCTTGGTAAAAATCGCTTCTTGCAACCGCCTTAACATTTTTACTGCAATTTTACAAAATTGAAAATATTTTAAAAACGGTAAGGTTTAAGTGTAATAAACCTTAATCAAATTTACCTTTATTTTAATCATAGAAACTAAAAATGTAATAATATACAGGGTGTTCCATTTAAAAAAATACAACTTTGATATTTTTATTTATTTGGGACACTCTGTATATTGTAAAAATATTTTTAAATTGTAGCTCTAATAGTCCTTCAACTAACCCAAAACTTACAATTTGTAAAAATCTAGTCGTTTAGCTACAATACTCCGTGTCGTATGTGGTGACCAACCTTGTATAATTATTTAATTTTCTTGTAGACCCTAGCTACACAAGCATGAACCAAGTACTGTCGCGCCATCATTTGATGGTTCTTTTCCGGATATAGATCTGGATTCAATAAAAAGTGACTGAGATGATTAGTTAGTTAAGAAGACATGAAAATCAAATTTCTCATGTCAAAAAACTCCCAGATACCAATTTTCATACAAATATTGATGTTAATTCAGAAATTATTTGGAAAAAATCGAAATAAATGTCTCCGAAACTAAGCCATTTTAGGACATATATTTATACGAACTTTTTCACTTATTTTTATTTGAAGAATAGACTGCCAAAGTTTCCGGAATACAATTCGGACCACTCTGTATATTTCCATTGTGCTCTTGTTTTCAAACTATTAAAACTGTGGCAGGTAGCACTAGACAAAATCCGCATTTTATATGAAACAGTAAATATTAAAACCTTATGATTAATAATTACATAACAAATATATTATACAGTCAAAATATCAAGCAAAAAAAATAAACTGAAAACTCACCTACCAAAACAGAAAAACTACACTGCACCTACTGGCATATTACCTTTCGACTATGACAACATCTAAAACCACTTTGACGGTATAAATCAATTGTTCCCTGGCAATGATGATAAAAGGCTCAGTCCTGATAAACGCTATCAGGCATTATGTTCTTTATCAGTGTGCAAAATGAACCACTGCTCTCTCTTAATATTTCATTATTAAATTTCACTTATTGATAGCGAGATCAATATGTTCGCGTTTGCAATGGTTTAAGGTCGCCTCGTGAAACTTTCTTCTTCTTCGCGAATAAAATCAGCTTGAAATTGGTGACATTCGCCTGTTAAACGGGATGAAAAAAAAGCAGCTAATAATTCTCAATGAGAATTCCCAAATTCAAAATGAGAATATGTGACGAAATTAATAAACAGCGCAGGACAGTTGTTGTCGGCGGAGAGATAATAATAAAAATAGCAGATGGGGAACTTCAAATTAACGCGTTAAATATACTGTGTCTAATAATAAGTACAACGCTAAAGAAACTAACTCAATATCATTAATTAAAAAAATAATTCACCAAGCTATAAAACAAGACAGACTACAAAACTTAAAACATACAGAGAGTCTCACAGGGCCTACAAAAAGAACTTAAGTGCATACGGTACCTAAGGCCTATTTCAGGAAATTATTTTAACTTCTACAGGGTGACTCAAAAACGTGGGACTAAATCAGGATTATTTTTTAATGGAACAATGAACATTATTGAATTTTTGGCTTCTTTCTTTGAATTTGACTTTCGAAAAATCCGTTTGCCAAAAATAAGCTTTTTACATCACGCAGTTTTAGCAGAATCGTGGTTAATGCATTACCCAACTTTGTGGAACACGCTGTATGATTTTTTAAAAAATTTCAAAATATGTAAAAAAAACAAAATAAATTATGCGTGTCCCAGCGTTTTTCCGAAAGACTAACCATTTTTTAAATAACAAATATTGTAATATTTGAGGGGCGTTTTCACTTTTCACCCTCTTGGAATTTGAGATTCGAGAAACCCCTCCTTATCGAACCTCTCCACCCCACAGGATTGACTGTGGGGTTTGCCAAAAATCAGCTTTAAACGTCAAGCAGTTTAAGTAGAATCGTGATTACTCAATGGACATATTTTATGAAACACCCTGTATAAATTTTTAAAAATTCTTAAAATATGTAAAACAACAAAATAAAATATACGTGTTTAAGAGTTTTTCCGAAAAACTTACCGGTTTTTAAATAAAAAAATATTCTAATACTTGAGGGGTGGTTTCACCCCCTTACAGTTCGAGTTTCGAAAAATCCCTTCTTATCGAACCTCTACACCCTAAAGTCAATCTGTTTTCCAAAAATCAGCTTTTTACGTCAAGCGCTTTAAGCAGGATCGTTATTAATCAATGACCAGATTTTTCGAAACACCCTGTATACATTTTTAAAAAATCTTGAAATATGTAAAAAAACAAAATAAAATATACGTGTTTAAGCGTTTTTTTTTTGGAAACTTGAATATTGTAATATTTGAGGGGTGGTTTCACACCCTTGGAACTGGAATTTCGAAAAATCCCTTTTTATCGAACCTCTACACCCTAGAGTCAACCTGTATGCCAAAATTGAGCTTCTTACGTTGAGTGGTTTGAGCAGGATCGTGATTAATCAGTAAATCAGTCACTTAAGGATTATTAGTATAGATAAAATAAAACGTTTAAATCCACTTTTTTAACGCTACTCATTGATATATTATTTTTAATTTTATAAGTATATCTAGGAACTTTAGTTACTACACTTTATTCTTTGTTTTGTTCTTGGTCCTTATACCGTTTATCGTGGTTATTTTCCAAAAGCAACACTTATCTATATTCTAAAAATAAATAGCCCAAATAATACGACCACTTTGTATCACTAAATCGTCTCCGTTTAAAAATTATTAGAAGTACAACAAAATAATGAAGGTTATGCTTAAAGATAAGTTAAAAGAAGATTGTAATATATTTTTTTTATTCTTTTCACCTTCTATCTCTTAAAAAATTTTATTTGAAATTTCATAATTTTATAGATATTTTTGCCTAATTTTCAATATCAATAATAAAGAGTATTTAATATTTCGTGGACATCGAACAACTTGGTATTTTTGTTATCAAAATAAGTTAAATGAACACATTCACCCCTATACAAAAGGACTTCATATGTAGGTTAAGAGACGTCGATCAAAAATAAACTCTCAAAAGTTAATTAATTTAAAATTTTTGAAACTTATTGCCAAATATCATCTATAATTTGATGTTTTATAACGGAAAAATGAAGGCACTACTTTAATTTGTGTCCTATTAACTTATTTTTATTCCAAAAATGCAAGAAGTTTAATGTCTACGGAATATTGACGGACACCCTGTATATTATATAAAGTAGATGATGTAAACAGCAGAAATTGTGTGTGAAGACAATTAAATTCAACAATAGACTATTATCTTTAGCATAGATTACCATATAGGTACCAAGTTAATTTTATATAAGCCTTATATAAGTCAATAAAATATACAATCTCACTAAATATGTGGCAGTATTATAAATAAAATACAATGTAAGAGAAAAAAATACGACTACATTATCTTTTTATTTAGAGAAGAATCATAATATTCCTATATAGAGTGAGTCAAAAATTAGTGCGAGTTATTTTACTTACTGAAAATTTCTAAAAAAAATGATTTTTGCTAAAATTTTGAGAACCACTGGATTTTCTTTCTTGTAAATTTAATCTATTACCTATGTTGCCGTATTATCAAGAAATCATGTTTTTTTAACTAAAAACTAAAAAAAAATCAAAAAATATACCAAATTTAAAAAAAAAAATCACGAGATATAAACTCAATCGTATCTAAAGTCGAAATATACTACCCTTAAAATATTTGCACTTATTTAAAACTCACCCTGTATATATTTTGAAGTGTAAACACGTTTTAGAACTTTTTAGAAAAAAAAACATAATAGGCAAGTTGACATAATAATTAATTAGTGTTCCTAATTATTAAAATAAAATTTGTGATAGTATCACCATCTATGAATAGAATAGTAAACTTTTTACAAAAGATACAGAAATCCTTAATGTTAAAATATAATTTATATAATTTTATATCCTGCTGGCGTCCTGCTGCGATTGCAGGCAACCAACAATTCACCAAAAATATCTTTGTTGATTCCCAACAATCCCGACTCGTACTTTGTCAATCCCAGTTATAATTAAATTCCTATTGTAAATATTTATTACAATATAAATGTAATATTATGCAGTACAACTAATAATAGTTTAAGAAAAATTCTAGATAGCAAGAAAAATAGGAAAACTGTGTATCAGTTTTAATAAAAATGAATTGAACATGTATATAAATTGTTTTCAATCAAAACTATATTTATGTGTACGAGAATACTGTACCTTGTATGTAGTCGATTTAACTTTTGCCTACATTGTGAATATACTCTCTGGTATTTAGTTTTAACTCTTTTAAGCTCCAACTTCAAACTTACTTAGGTCTAGGTTAGGTATACACTATACACTTTTCAAATACGCATGCACTGTTAGTTTCTCATTTAATTAGGTACGTAATTTAAAAAAAAAGTGGGATTGCACATTATTTAGATCCAAGACTACAAAGTAAAATTTAGACATAATTCAAATTGACTGACTTGCATTAATAAAGCTGCTGGATGAGTCAATTATCGGATATTTTAACAATCTAGAAATTGTTGACATTGCTATTCTCAATGTGAATTTTAAACCGGTTCAAAATAGGAAAATTGCATAAAAATAATTAATACGTATTCTCATAATTTTTATTTTAATAAAACGTACTTCCAAACAAGTAGTGATAGACCAAAAAGATTTTTAAATAAGATTTGAAATAAATTTTAAATATTTAAATGTATTAATATACAGGGCCCGGCAATAGTGCGTCGGGCATCTTGTAGCTCTTCGAATAAAAAAACTTGGGAGTGCAAACCTAAAGTATATACTAGGATGTATTGTAGGAAAATATTTGAACTTCTATAAGGCAACAAGAAAGTGTGAGTACATCGGGATGATTTTTTTAAAATGAAACACCCTGTATATTATTGCATTTTTGGCTTTATATCACTTTATATAATCCTAAGATATGAGTAAATATATTTCGATAGTTTCAGTGATATTAATAAATAAATAAATAATATATATTTTTCAGCCTCTATTAAAAAATTATTAAAAATACCAAGAACTGTCCTGAAATCAAAACTATATTAGATATTTACTTTAGATGGCCTATACATACTTTGCTATAAATACAGGAAGTTCAAAAATATACGCCAAACTTTCTAAAATATAAAATAATTTTTCTTCGTTTTTTTTTTAAATGGAATAAGTGGGAGGGGGGTTAATCTCTGCGACCTTAGAGATCTATTGTGTCCCCCTTTCTTGAGTTATAACTCATCATACAGTCCCAGGACTTCCTACGGAGACCCGTGTCCTTCACAGTCGAGAAGCTACGACCCAGGCCGGGTAGACGAAACGGTAGCTTGTAGGCCCCCGACCCTTGGAGGAGGTGGTAACTTGTATGCCACTTGCGGAGGATGGTCTCACGCAAGTGTCAGCCACCTCTCCTGTAGTTAGGCCCCTTGGAACTTTCATTGTTACTGTTCCCAGTGTTGCTAGGGGGTTTCCCCACAGCTTCACCGGTGATGTTTTTATTACTATTATTACCAGATCTCATAGTGTTCCCATGAGTCGCTAGGGATAGTCGGTCCACTTCTACAGAGCCCCGCATTTAGAAGTAAGGGGTAAAATACAATGGGGTGCCCCAAGGTTGAGGCTGTCCGTAGCCCCGCCCGGTATCATTATATGTCTTGGTGCGTGAGATGCTTTTTAGACCAAGCCAAGTGCTAGGGGGGATTCCCCCCAGCACCTGACCAGGAGCTTCCCCACCAACGACAAAGTCTTCCATCTCGTAGGGGAAGTTTTTAAATGGAACACCCTGTATATTATTTTTTCAATGGATGGAGAATTATAAAATGAACAATTTTTGTTTTGACAGTATTTCAATTTTTTTTATTGGAATTATTGAAAATATTTAGGTATATTTTTAAACGTAAAATTAACAAAATTAAAAACATTTACAAAGGTTGACGCAAAATATTATGGTGATTGGTGATATTTCTCAAATAACTAGACGATACTTTTTAATTCAACTTATAGAATTACCGTTTTATAGTTTTAGAAATATCTACGATTTTATAGAAAATAATAATTGTTTCTCTCGTATTATTGATTTACTGAGTATTAGTTGTTATTTATTAGTAAGTCAG